ATGTGGTGCTTAATCAGCCTCATATTCTACCGACTACAATAATGGAACAAAATACAGTTCTTGTAACATTCATAAAATTAAAATAAAGAGTTGGTACTATTAGAAGGACAACAAACCATGTCTAAACTTGCTTTTTGAGACTCCATTTTTCTCTTTTATTTCTACTAAATTCTGTGCTCATAACAATTGCACTGTATTTTCCACAATCATGCCAGGTACTAGTTTTTCTCAGAACTTTCTAATTGTATTTCATGCCTGTATCTTGTAATTTCTAGAAAAAGACAAAGACAGAAGTCCAGTCAAGGCCACAAGACTGCTTTTCTCCTAAGAAACTGTCAGACAAATTTCTCAAGGAGGAAGTGGAAATGAAATGAGAGACATTGATAAATTTCCCTGCTGAACAATCAATAAAAGCCCCGCCATCCTGCTCAGACTCCCACTGTGGAAGCGAGAGTCATAATTACATTGTCAGAAATGCAGGTTGCCCGGAATGCAGCGACCCCTTTGAAAAGTGACAAATGATTGGCACTCAGTTCAGGGTGCTAAAGCTGGATTGGCAGGTGGAGTGGTCAAGGCAAAAGGCAAGAGCAAAATTTCTTTATTGACTACAAACACCCAAACCCCAGACCTCCACTCTGGAGAAATTCTGTGACCCTTTCAGCATATTAACATATTGGTCCAAGCAGATGACAGAACTTACTAAACAATCCTCACTGCACCTGAGATTCAGAACACACCATTTCCCAATCCACTTCCAAACAGAAAAAGAAAGACGGTGCTTCATGTGGGTGTGTGTCCATGTGAGTGCTGGAGTGAGTGAGAGTTTTTCTGCATTAGAAGAAAGACTGCTTTCATCTCCAGCGTTCCTTGTGACAGCTGAACAGCAAGGCCTGTTTGCTTAGTGATTAAAATCTATGACAAGAATCAGCAGGAGCAGAAGGGTTACAAAGGATAATGATGAAGAACTCGAAGGGAGGAAGATGGGGGGAGAGGGATATTGCTGACACGCAGACCTATTTGTGTGATTCTATGTGACCCATGCTGGAGTTTAAATTGGAGTCCCTCCATCCCCTCACTGCTACATGTTAGGGACCAAATCTGCAAAGGCTCCATTTACCGGGCAGAGCCCTGCTTCTGGTGGTGCAAGGGCCCAGGCAAGTGGTTTCCAGGAAGACTTGGTCATAACCAAGTGGTGGATGTCCTGTGCTGCACCAGGACAGATTGTGATCTAAAGCTGTCCACTGGGCAGTGGGAACAGAACAGAACGTGCCTGGGAACATTGTTGCCTCATGAGTTCCAAGCCTAAAACATGACAATTAATGAAGTGAAAAAGCACTAGGCAGAGGCGGGGGTCCCACGCCAAATTTTGAATTAGAAGCCTCTGCTGCTCCCTACCCTCAAGAGTTCCTCACCTTTAAGAGAAACTCTGAGATGATTGGTACTGGGTACCCAGTGGTCTTGGAAAAAAGAAAAATAATTAATCAAAATAGTAACAATTAACATTCCTAATGAGTGACTGTGCACCCATACCGTAAGTATAGGGTGGGGACCATATTGTCTGGTTCCACAGACAAGGGTCACAGCTGACAAGCAGCAGATCTGAACCAATTTCTGATTCCATGCTATCAACCTCTAAATTCAGTGTATCAGTGAATCTCCAGGTGTACTGGGAAGGTCTCCTGAATCAAACCACATGAAGTCCCCACGGAACCAGACTCTGGAGACCAGACACAGAAATCCAGACTTACAACCACCCAGGAGTTGGTTTCTGTGCACTGCTGTTAGTGACACTGTCTGCAGTATCTTGGGACGCTGAGTGAATGTTGGGTCACTAGGGACTTTCTGGGTCCAAGGCAAAGAATTCAGTTGCTCACTCTTTTGCACATTTGACAGCAAAAGAAAATGAGTTTTTCTCTAAAGCCACAATGTCACCAGGCCCATCTTTGGCCCTGGGAAAAGGCCAGTGAAACTACGTAATGATTTTAGCTATGACCTGCCACCACGCCTCCGGGGAAATTGTTTGAGACCTCAGGTGGTGAGAGAGAGGAGAGGGAGGATTGATGAGCCATGTGTATGGCTGTGATTCTCTAAGAAATGCATCAGGAAGGGAATCCCTCCCGCCCTGATGGCTAAGCCCTTTGCTACACAGCGCTTCTTCCAAATGAACGGGGTAAAGCAGGACCACCTCAGACATTTCCCTGTGCTCTGTGTGCAGGCTCCGGGGTTCACGTGAGATCCTGGTGTAGGAAGGGCTTTGGAGGATCTGGTTAAAGTTGTTGATGGCAGATCTGAAAAGATGGGAAAGGAGAGGAGAAAGTGGATAGAAAGAAGAAGAGGGAGAATGGAGATTTTAAAAAGAACAGGAAACAAAAAGTGAGAGAGGAGGAAGGGAAGGAGAAGATGAGAATGAGAGAAGCAGAGGGAGTACACCTCACTCTCAATATTCACACAGCTAGAGTAGCATTTACTTTTTCTTCTCCTTCTTTTTTTGGAGGTACTGGGGTTTAAACTTGGGGCTTCACACTTCTCTACCACCTGAGCCATGCACCAGCCCTTTTTGTTCTGACTATTTTGAACATAGGGTCTTCTATTTTGCCCAAACCAACCTAGACCATGACCCTACAATTTTATACTTCCCGCCATAACTGCGATGACAGGTGTGCAACCAGGCCCAGCTTTTTTCTGTTGAGATAGGGTCTGATGAACACACTTGCCCAGGCTGGCCTCAAGCTGAGATCCTCCCCATCTCAGTCTCCTGAGTAGCTGGGATGAGAGATGTGAGCCCCTGGCAGTGCCTAGTTTAGAGCAGCATTTTCTTTAACTTTCAGAGTTTTTGAAATATGTTAGAGGCATCTATTTTTTGTGTGTCATATTAACTGTAAGTAATGGCACTAGGGATTTTTTTCTTTTCTTTTTTGGTGGTACTGGGGTTTGAACTCAAAGCCTCATGCTTGCTAGGCAGGCATTCTACCACTTGAGCCATACCTATCAGTCCTTTATGGCTTTAGTTATTTTTCAGCTAGGACATCATGCATTTTACCCATGGATGGCCTCAGACCAGCAATCTTCTTATTTCTGCCTTCCACATCCCTGAGATTACAGCATGCACCACCACACCTGCCTTGTTTATTGAGATGAGGGTCTCGCCAAATTTTTGTCTAGGCTGGCCTCAAATTATGATCCTCATGATCTCCACTTCCTGAGTAGCTAGGATTACAGGCATATACCACCATGCCCAGCAACTACTAGGGGTTTTCTTAACTTGACATGTTCTTAAGCACAATGGCCTAGAAGCACAGAGTGCATTTAAAATATGGGCACACTCTCCCTGATTCTTCACACTTGAACATGAGAATGAGAAGAAGTTTAATGAAAGAGGCAGAGATGAGGGAAAGCAGTGGGAGGGTTTTTACTCTTTAATTTGAATGTCGATTTCTAGCAAAGTTCAGTCCTCTGCATTGTATTGCACAGTGGCTTTCAAATCTGAGAACCACTGTCAATCCTCTGGTCCTTTGGATGGATTTAGCTTGATTTCTGTCTTCATGTCCTCCAGCTGGGTTTTTTCAGTGCCAAACAACAGCATATCATTTGGTGGCCTTGGTGGCCATCACGCTAGGGCAAACATTTGAGGACCATGGCTGATGTGTGAATAGACAGGAGACATGCACAGATGCTGGGCTAAAGATCAATGCCAGTGATTGCTGATGAAGACAAAGCAGATAACCTTGAAGTAGAACATAAGAATCAGTGTAGGAGCAATGTCAAGTTTCTGTCCAGATGGTTATGGGTTTTTAACTTTACCAAATTTGATCTCCAGTGTCGAACACACTGGTTGGCCAACACATGGTCAACACTTAATAAATACCTGAGTAAGAGATCATGCTTTCTCTCATAGTAAGGCAAAAGAAGCCAAGAATGACTTTTGATAGACAATGACAGACAAAGAAAAAGACTCTTTAGCACAGCTACAAGCCTAGAACAAGAATTCTGATAGGAGGGTTTTATCTTGTCATCCCAATATAGACAGGATGTTTTCTGGAGACTGGGCCTCTATGTAGAGCCTACACTTTTGATCTGCTTTTGACTCATGCTCTACAACCAAAAGTATGTAAGTATCTCCTGAAATACATTCAACGCCCATCATTTTATTCTTACACTTGCCAGCTCATGCTGTTATCCTAGCATGCTTCGTAATTTACTGAATCTTACGGGAGAAAAATGTTTGTTTTGCAAAGTGGAATTAGGTGATCAGAAAGCAAATAAACTTGAAGCAGAAACATACTGCAGTCTAATCCCTGTTTTCTTCTAGGAATCCATAAGCAGCCAGCACATCTGTAAGAGGTGTCTAAGCACAGGTGTAATTGAACTCTGTGCACAGGGTGGTGATGGGGATTGGGCGGGGACTCAACAGCAACAACAAAGTGATGCTGTCTTTATTTTGTTTGTGACTCCAGGATACTACATGGAGAGAAAGATTTGCATTGGTTAGTTTTCACCAAGTTGTGCTGCGGTTACAAATGCAAATCTCAGTGGTTTACAACAACAAAGATTGTACTCCTTATGCACAGACATTACAGTAGTCCCAACCTGAGGGGAATGTCCCGATCTGGGACGGGTTATTCTCAAGTGGAGGAAAAGAGTCAAAACCATCACAATAGCTCTTAAAACTTCCACTTGGCCATGCAGCATGGCATTTCTGCACACATTCCACCAACCAAGGCCATGTCCATGACTAAGGGCACTCAATGAGGCCATAGGTGTGACCTAGCCACAGGGAGACACTAAGAGCCTCCTAAGAGGGGCAAAAGTGTCCAGTCATCTTTCAGGAAAGAGACCCATAGTATATTCTGCCACAAGAATCAAAATGTCATCTGTTATTTAAGGAAATAGTGACGTGTTCCAGTTAACGTGCTTTTAAAAACAGTTTTATCAATTTCCACTGGCCACACATTTAGTAGACACAGCCCTATTTCATCTCCTCTGGATGACTGGTCACTCACCATGCAGACAAAGAGTTCCACTCCTCACAGCCAGGAACTTGACTCCATAGGGAAAGAAGGCAGCAGAGTGAGAACTCCCATACAGTTTGATCTGAGCTTTGCCTTGGAAAGGTTTGTCCTCAGATCCAATCCGCAGCTCTCCACCATCCGAAACAAGAATGGAGTGCGCACTGAGCTCGATGGGTCCTGGATCCACAAAAATCAGCTTGCCTCCTAACGGACAAAGACAAGCCTGTCAGTCCCTGGGAGGACAAGGCTCACCACATTTTGACAGTTCCAATCTCAGACGAAACCCCTTTCTGAAAGCTAGACTTCTTCTATCTTCAGCTCTTTCCTAAGATGCACAATAGAGTGGATCAGACTCCCAAGGATAGAAGCACTGTTCTATTAGATACCATCACTAGATTATATTATTAGATATCAGAATTCACTGCAGGTTTGTTAACAATATTTTTCATGGCAATAGTCTAAATGATGAGCAATTTAGTACTGGTTAAATAAGGTGTAAGAACACTAACTTTATCATTTAGCAACAGATTAAAGCAGTATATAAAATAAAGCTTAAAACACAGAGAAACAAGAGTATAAGAAATAGAGAGAGAATGTTTCCTGCCTATACTGGAAACACTCTAGAACTAATAAGTATAGACAAGGACTTCCTCAACAGAACCCCAGCAGCCCAGCAACTAAGAGAAAGGATGGACAAATGGGGCTTCATATAATTAAAAAGCTCCTGCACAACAAAAGAAATGGTCTCTAAACTGAAGAGAACACCCACAGAGTGGGAGAAAATATTTGCCAGCTATACATCAGACAAGGGACTGATAACCAGAATATACAGGGGACTTAAGAAAGTAAACTCTCCTAAAATCAATTAACCAATTAAGAAATGGGCAACTGAACTAGACAAAACTTTCTCAAAAGAAGAAATTCAAATGGCCAAAAAACACATGAAAAAATGCTCACCACTCTAGCCATAAAGGAAATGCAAATCAAAACCACACTAAGATTCTACCTCACCCCTGTTAGAATAGCCATCATCAAAAACACCACCAACAGCAGGTGTTGGCGAGGATGTGGGGAAAAAGGAACCCTAATCCACTGCTGGTGGGAATGCAAGCTGGTACAACCACTCTGAAAAAACATTTGGAGACTTCTTAAAAATCTAAACATAGATCTGCCATATGATCCAGCAATCCCACTCCTGGGGATATACCCAAAAGAATGTGACACAGGTTACTCCAGAGGCACTGCACACCCATGTTTATTGTGGCACTATTCACAATAGCCAAGTTATGGAAACAGCCAAGATGCCCCACTACTGATGAATGGATCAAGAAAATGTGGTACTTGTACACAATGGAATTTTACTCATCCATGAAGAGGAATGAAATCTTATCATTTGCAAGTAAATGGATGGAACTAGAGAACATTATTCTGAGTGAGGTTAGCCTGGCCCAAAAGACCAAAAATCGGAAGTTCTCCCTCATTTGCGGACTTTAGTTCTAGGGCAAATGCAGCAATGTGGTTGGACTGGGATCACATGACAAGGGGAGAGCATATATGGGAGATATAGGAAGAGGTAGAAAACCCAAAACATGAAAGCGTTTGATGTCCCCACTCCAGAGGACTAATACAAAAACTTTAAAGCAGCAGAGGTTATCATGAGAAGGGGATCAGGAACCAGGGCAAAGATCAGTTAGAGATGAATCAACATGGGTCGTAACACGTGTACACGAAAGCATGCTAGGAATATTTCTGTATAGCTATCCTCACCTCAACTAGCAAAACACTCTGTCTTCCTTCTTAGGCTTGTCTCTTTTCTTCAACGAAACTAGTGATAAAGGCAGAACAGGACCTGCCTGGAACTGAGAGGGAAGCGGGGAGAGGATGGGGGAGGGAGCAGAGGGGGAGAAATGACCCAAACAATGTATGCACATGTGAATAAATGAATAATAATCATAAAAAGAAACAGAGAGAAGAATATGCACCAAAATTATAAGAACTATGGAAAATGAAGTGCAGTTGGGGCTGGCTGGCATCCATTTTTTATGATAGACCCTTATCATAAAAAGCTGCCAATCAAGACTTCTTGTCCTACCACAGCTTGAGTCACATACTGAAGATTCAAAGGGAGTGTAAATGAAAAGAAAAGACAGAAGATGTCTAGATCTTGTTCATTCTAATGGTGGTGTTCTAAGGAGCCTGGGAAGAATTCCTACTCCTCAGACCCCTCCTACCACTCCCCTACCCTGAATGCACCAACTCTAGTTTATTTCTCTGCCAGACTTCCATTGATTCAGGAAGCAACCCAATACCTTTGCAATAAATTTCTTTTTTAAAGAAAAGTTGATTCCCGTTATTTACAAATAATTTTAACTGACTCAGATATCACTGTTTGAATATAACATAGGAAAATAATTTAATAATACAACCATTGTATTGTGAGAGCAAATGGTTCAATATCAAAAATAATTTCATCTTAGTATTTTACATTTCATGCAGAATTTTTCTCAGTGGCGTCAAGAAAATTAAAGCATCTCATATAAACACTTTAACCTGAATGAACTATTAAATCTGTCTCCCTGCTGTAGGTGGTTTGCTAAAGTGCCTGTACTAGACTCTTCTAACCTGTACCAAAGCGGTCAAAGTTGTGACTACTTGTGAAACCCCACAGGCCCTGTTTTCCAAACCTTATAATAGTTTCCTATCTCACTCAGAATTAATATGAAAGTCCTTATATTGTGCTACAAAAGCTCCCTCATGACCTCCTGCCCATAATCAACTCCTCTACAACATCATCTTTTAAAACTTACCCTCTAAGCTGGGCATGGTGGCTTATACCTGCAATCCCAGCTACTCAGAAGGCAGATTAGAGGACATTGAATTGAGATTAGAGAACAGCCCAGGGAAAGTATTAGAAGATCCCATCTCAACAAAAAAGTTGGGTGTGACAGAGTGCATGACCTGTCATCCCAATATATGAGAAGCATAACCAGGAGGACTACAGACCAGGCTGGCCTAGGCAAAAAAAAAAAAAAAAAAAATCTGGAGAAAAAGGGCTGAAGAAATGGCTCAATTTGTAGATCACCTGCCTAACAAGCACAAGGTCTTGGATTTCATATACAGTACCATTAAAAATAAAATAAAAACCTTGTGTTTTTACTCATCTGCTCTGTTCTTGTCCCAAAATCTTACATTCATGATAATAAGAAGGTGGAAATTTAATCTGACAGTGGTTTTTAGAGGTGGGGCCTTTGGGATGTGATTAGATTAAGTCATTAGATTGGAGCTCCCATTACTGAATCCTGATTGCTTTATAAGGAGAGGGAGAGAGACCACACAGAGACACATGGTCCTGCCACGATGTGACTCAGCTGGAGTGGGGGGCGGGAACACCTCACAAAAGCCTGCACCGTGCTGGCACCGTGCTGTTTGGACTTGAGAGTCAAAATAATCCTCTTTTCATTATAGACTACTATCCTGCTTCAAGTATTTCATCACAGTAACAAAAGCTGACAAATGCATGCTCCAAACTTATCACAAACATCAAAACCTGTGCATGTGCTCCTCCTTTCCTTAGAATCTTCTTTTGTCAGATTATCGCGCATCTTGTCCTCCATTTTTTCTATTCACAGGGTAACTTCTCACTGAAGCCTTTCCGCTCCAGTCTATACAAACAGCATGCTCCAGCCCCTTACCAAATGAATTTTTCTTCATAACATTTGGTATCAGACGCATCACATATTCACATGCTTTTCTGCCGTCTCTCCACTAGAGTGCCTGCTCCTGAGGGCAGTTATCCATTTTGTACACTTCCAAGCTCTAGTATCTAGAACAGCAACTGGTAGGTGTTTTATACTCAATACATAATTGTTGAGTGAATAAACACATGACTGTGTTGTTTTACAGGATCTGATATGAGTGTCCATATTTCTTTATTTACAAAAACACACACAAATTTTCTCAGAAAGGCTACACTCTAGACATACCTTCCTAGATATCCAGCTTATCCATCTTAAAGTGTGGCTGTTAGTACATTAAATCTAAAAGTTCATACATTGCCTTGATGAACTAAAGGTAAGCAAAGGGTATAGAAAAAGTTGTGAGAAATGACTCAAAAGACATAGTCCACTGGTATGGGAGGGTCTTGCTGTAGACAACAAAACCTCTTCACCTGCCGAGTTCACTCCTAAATCTAGAGTTCCAAATTATTGAGTTGAATTGTTGTTGCCTTCCAGAAACAATAACTGGAAGTAGTTAAGCAATGGAGGAATGAGAGGGAGAGAAGGAAAAGACTAAGATGCCTTGAGTTATTTTTGTTTACCTCCATCTTAGTTCAGAGACAATGATCAATAAATGTTTGACCCATAATCAAAAGTTGTAAGCCACTGCTTCCCTGACATGTTCTAAAACTTCTCTTCAGCTCTCTATGGCTCTGTTCATCAAGACTTCCAGTCTTCCATTCCAAGGTCCAAGCCACCCAGCATGGTAACAGTCACAGGACATTTTCTTGGGTAGACTTCTCATGTATCCATCCGGCCACACTCTAGACATACCCCACCTAGGTATCCAGCTTATCATATGGAAGTTCTCCTTCAGAAAATTGTGCTGAGATTTGTTAAAACAATGCTGTGAGTCCTTGGCCTAGGGTCTGATGCTTGCTGGATACGTGGTGCAATGGTGTTTACAGTTGTCACAATCACTGTCACCACTTCTCTTAGTGCTCCTGCCTGCTCACGTTCTACAGTTGCCCTATCTCTTCTGCACTACTCCTCCATCAACTTCCAACATCTCACTGCCTCTACACTTGGCTCTTCTTTTGAACTATATCCTGTCATATAAATCATTCCATAAGGTAAGTTAAAAAAAACAAACATCTACGAAGCAAGGCCCACATCTACGAAGCAAGGCCCACTTCTTTGGCAATCTGTAGGCCCAGTGCCAGAGCAACGGCACTCTGCTTACCGAACTTCCAAAGGACCCACCAGCAATTCTGACTTTAATTTTCCTTTCCATTGTTACTGCACCTAGAAATGCAGTCATAATCACGAATCCCACTGTGAACAGGAAGGACTAACTGTGACGCCTGCTAGAGTTCACATATTGATGTTAACTAAAACTTCTTCATTCATGTCATTAATGTCCTAACCAATTATGTTCACCTGACAGACAACAAATATGCATAGCAGAATTTCCCATTTTTGTAGTCA